TTTTTTTTTTTTTTTTTTTTTTTCAAGAAATTGCATTCAATCGTCTCTTCGTGGAAGAGCTACATATATTGCCCTTGATCTAGTAGTGGGCTCTAAAGCAGGCACAGGTCTGGTACCCTTTTTTTTTTTCCTGTCTCCAGAACTGCTGTACCTAAATTTATTTGCAGTAGCACCTGCCCCATTCTTCTGGGTCCGTTACATATTCTGCTGGTGCATTACAGTTCAAAGGTGCAATATCCCATATTCTAGTCTTCCTGAGTCTTACTGTGGTGTATGATCTTTAAGGGCAACATTAAGGAAGTGTGGTACTTAGAAAAAGAACAAAACATTGTATTGAATTTTCTTTCCCGTGTTTTTATTTTAGGATACCATGGCAAAACGGAACACAGTTATAGGAACTCCGTTTTGGATGGCTCCTGAAGTGATCCAGGAAATTGGGTATAACTGTGTAGCAGACATCTGGTCTCTGGGGATCACGGCAATAGAAATGGCTGAAGGAAAACCACCATATGCTGATATTCATCCAATGAGGGTGAGGACCAAGGACTCAAATATTGCAGGAAATGCATAGTTTTCAATTCACAATTAGTTGAATAGCACTCTAACGAGATGCCAACTATCTTTTAACATGGGAGTAAGTTCTCATCAAGTAAAATGAGAATATTTCTCATGAGAAGGAAAATCGTCAGATAAATGTAGAATTATATAGTTTGCTTAGAACATACGTGTGTTTGGATCAACCCCCATGCCCCAATTGTCAACATGCAATTCTATTTTTCAAGTAGTATCTCTGCCATAGGTAAAAACTCCCACTGAAAACAGCTCTACAGTGGAGCGAATGAATTTCTCATTACTTTGATCTGTTTGCTAGGGGAATATATATAGTTGGCATAAACAATTGAAGTGACAGGCAACTTTGAACTGCTATAGTTATCTCAGAGTTGGGATATGAACACTTTTGTAAATGTGTTTACTTCAGGCAATGTGCATGGTTGTTCTGTGTGTGATCTTGACTGTCTAGAAATTAAGCAGTCTTTATTGTTATCAGGCAATTTTCATGATTCCTACAAATCCTCCTCCAACATTCCGGAAGCCAGAACTGTGGTCAGACAATTTCACCGACTTTGTAAAACAGTGTCTTGTGAAGAGTCCTGAGCAAAGAGCCACTGCCACGCAGCTTCTTCAGGTCTGGTCTTGGGTGCCTGGGTTGAGCCTACAGGGGCATGAAACCTAGAGAGTTGAATGACTTGTAGTGTATGCACAGTGATTGGGTGCATTTTGCAATAATAATTTCTCTTTTTGTTTTCTGTCTGTTGTAATGTCGTGACTAAAAACCTCACACTCAGTTTCAGCCTTCGAAGTCTTCCCTACAAACTGGATCTACTTCTGCTTCCTGTTCCTTTATGTATACATATAAAATTTAAATATTGCATCTTTGTGCCTTCAGGCTTTTTGTCTGATTCGCAAGATTTCCAAGAAGAGATCCTGTTGCTTAACTGCATGACATTATATAGTGCACCTTTAACTGACCTTATGCTTTAAAAAAGAGCCATTTCTCTGCTGCTACTTTGTCACAAACAGCTCCTCTCCATTTTCTGGCTCTTCCAGTTTACCTTTGTTCTTCATGCGACAGAGGCTCCTGCTTAGAGATAAAAGCAAAGCTGGCTAATCTTTAAAGCACTCGTTAGATATTATCAAAGAGAAAAGGGATATATGTTTGAATCAAGAGGATATTCTTTGCACTGTACTGTCTTGGGCTACAGCTTCTCCCACTACAAACAAAACAGTACCCCTGTCTTTCCATGACACTAATGTCTCCATTGATGTACCCTTTCTGAGAAGGCTTCATTATGGTTTATCAGTTGGCCCTTAGAATGTGAAAAGAAGGCAGCAATTTAGGCAGTTTTGCAACCTGTTGGGAAGTGTAGCCATGCTGTAGTCCCGGGATACAATTTTAGACAGCCAGAGGGGTCATGTGTAGAAGTGAGTTATGTTCAAAGCAGTTCAGAAGAAGAGTCTGAATGCAGGGTACTGCAGAATTTGTCTTTTTGTAGCAGAACTTAGGGATTCTCTTTCTCCATTGCTAAAAAGATGCATTAAACTTGTGCTTTTGCTGAGCTGTTTGCACAAGCATTAACGTGTGCAACGGGAATGGGGATAGCTCGGTAACGGTAGTGTTTGGGGTTTTTTACTGTTGTTATCACGGTTCAAATTTACTGCTTAAAACATATCATGTACATCCTTTTTTTTAGCATCCGTTTGTTAAAAGTGCCAAAGGGGTGTCAATTTTGCGGGATTTAATTAATGAAGCAATGGATGTTAAGTTGAAACGCCAAGAAGCACAACAGCGGGAA